TAGAGACCGTAAGGGATCCCTAGCGCCAAGATAAAAGAATTTAATCTGCTATGCGCACAGTGTGCATATTTAGGGCTTTTATACTTCAAATTATATAATTAAAGTTGTGTATACCTATCTGAGTTTCTTTAATCCTCTACCACCTTGTGGCTGCAAAAACCTCCTCATAATGATCTACATTCCAGTACCACTTATGACAGACATAGTCCGTCGTATTGGGAGTGAGGGATTCCGCAACCTAGGTCCTTTCATTGCAGCTGGGCCTTTCTTTAAACAAATTGTCTTTTCCCGTGAAGTCCTAATCGACGTGGATCTTGATGAGTTCATGTTCAACACTAGACTCGGTAGAGAACAATCTATCTATCGATCCTTCCTTTTAAGATGCGTAGGTGAAGGTCATGAGATAGCAAGATATATCGAATCTCTACGCCGTTTGACTCAAGATGGACCGTCCGTGGAAGCACTAGAGATGCTTGAAGAATTTGCTTATTCTTCCATCTACGCTATATTTGCATTTGCGGTCATGCTCCTTTGTTGTGGTTCCTATGACCAAGGTATGGTCATAACCCAAACTTTCTTTAGTAAGGTTGAAACTTTGGAAGAAGCGTTAAACATTGCCGGTGTAGTAGAAAGCCAGGTTCGTAATATCGGTCCTGGCGGTCGCAATGTGTTTTCAGGGATTTTCCATTTCAAAGAGTATCCAATATGCTACTTTGCACACAACTACCCGAGTACATGCATTTGTCAGAATTGTTTTGTGTTTAATTACGCTACCACTTTCCATGAAATGTGTTAAGAAGACTCTATCTTCTTCCATTGTTGTTGTTCTGTTTCTGTCTACAAACTCTATCAGGTCATGTAACACAACTATTACTTGTTTGTTCCTCTGTTGGTATGGTTGCTATCTATATCTAAGATTTTTCCAGAACTAGATTCAAGTCTTGGTATCTCGCTGTGACAGAACTAGATACTAAGATTCCAAACTCTATAGTTACAAATGGGCAAACAGCAGGAATGGGCATCTATGCATCGGTTCAAGGCAGCAGAATCCAAACGGTTAATACGACATTAACTAGGACAAGTAAACAACTATACATTTATTGTTCGTCAAATCAATGAAAGAAGGATAGAAAAGTTATGAGGAGCGGAAGCGCACAGTGTGCCTTTTAGAGACCGTAAATATCTGCTATTGGGATCCCTAGCGCCAAGATAAAAGAATTTAATCTGCTATTGGAAAGTAAATATAGAGAAACCACGCGACGCCGCCTGACGAGTCATCTAGATTGCGCCACGTCCTCATTTCGAAAATGTAAAGTACCTGCCAAAGCAACCATCCCCACACCCACAAAGGCGTTATCTTCGTATATTAATTTCTCATTTCTCAATGTTGATGTGGCGTCTTTTGGTTGGCCCCTCTTTTCGGTAATGAATTATAGTACAAGCTTTGGTAAAAGCTGCATTTTCGGCTCTTAGCGTTTTTGATTTAATGCGTTATATCCCATTTATAAGAAATTATCGCAATTATAATGTATCCTGAACTATAATGGGGGTCTAAATTTCTAGTTTCGCGTATGTTTGAGAAACAAAGTAAAACTTATTCTAATGTACAATGTTGAACAATAGCTTATATTCACAAGACTGCATTTGTTTTTGGCCATTATTTATATTGTGTGCAGCGGAAGAGCATAGGCCATATAAGGAAAAGTCCAGCTTTCAAATTGTGGTCGTTTGGCTCACCAACTTTACCTATGGCCTACAGAATTCGAGAATTCAACCATTTCGAAAAAAGACTACAGAATTCGAGAGAAGAGGGGTCGAAAGAGTGGAGGAGAATGAAATAAAGGATAAGGAGAATAAGAGAGAATGAAATAAAGGATGAGGAGAATAAGGGAAACGAAGATTGTGACAATAGGGGAATTCTCGAATATGTGGGAATGGAGGGAAACCCAAAAACATTCGGGTGAATTTCGAATTTTCTTTTTATTTCTATTCCTCACGTGCGCCGTTTTTTCCCTTTTATACGCCGTTTTTATCCGCGTGTGTGCCGCTAGTTTACACATAGTTATACACAAGATAGTAGTTATACACAAGTTCCACATAGTTATACTTTTGATGTATTCCAGTAAGATTAGTATTATGTACCCCTAAAATTTATATTCTAGTTGTACGCTTGATTGATGTCGCTAACAATATAATTTAGAATGTTTTACGCATTCATATGTTCAAAATATAGATTTTTGTAACTTTTTCATCCTTATTTTGTTAATATTTCCAATGTGAGCTTAAAAGTATATGAATGTATTGTGTAGATTATTTCAAGATATATATAGTTTGTAATTTATTTTGTAATTTAATAAAGAATTGACTTTAAGACTTTGTAACATTAAAAACAATGAATGTACTTGGATTTGCCTGATTTTTATTTTTCTCACATTATGGTTGTTTCAATTTTTATGAAGTTGATGAGGATTATTACGAGGATGGGAAAGAAAAGATAGATAGGAAGAAATAGAACAAGAAGATAAAACAGAAGAAGAAGCATTGTGGGACTCAAACAGAACTGGAATAAATTCGTTTGAATTGTAACGCTTTTGAATATATAAGTTTACGAGGATTATCATTGTCTATTGTTTATGTATGTTCAACGTTCTCTACTACAATAATTTGATTATATTCGGCCCAAATTGTTGGGCTCATATTGGGCTTTCTGAAGTTGGGGATATTTAAAATAGAGATTGCGAAGAGTATGTTATTGCTATACCAAACTTCTGATTCTCAGCGTCTACTTAAACTATGCATAATTGTAGTTTACTAAACTCGCTCATCTTAGCCTCTAAATGAACTCTGCTAGAACGTTGCGGAAACGTGGGTTTGTTAAGGGTAGTTTTGGTATTTAGAAAATATTGTACCATTTCTACAATTTTCCTTTATCGAGTACCAATATTTTAATAAATAGTGGAAAACGTTCTATTTCAGAAAATTTCTTTATATTATATATCATGTAACAAGATTTTTCGAAATTTCAAAAACAAATCTGCCAACCAAAAGTCTGTCAACAATAAAAGTTTATTCTAGTTAGAAACAAATCGGCCATAACATGACATGAGAAAATCTGTTGTGCTTAGGGTCCAAAAATATAACTGTCATAACTAAAAACAAATCTGTTATTACAATGCGATTGTTTATTAATTATATTCTTTTCAAAAACCTGCTATAAAATGCCAGATTTGTCAACAAATTAAGAAAATCTGCGAGTACTCTGTCATCATTATATGTTAATTTTTTGTGTTAAAAAATCTGTTATAAAATGATAGTTTAAAAAAAAACATAAAATCTGTTGCCAAAATAAAAAAAATTTGCGGTTGAAAAACAAAACTATGGCAGATTTGTTTTATAACCATTCAAAATATTAAAATTTTAGGAAAATCTGTCATAAATTATAAATCTGTCATTACTTAATCTAACGAAGTCTGTGGTACAAAAAAAGTCTGTCGAACAAAATCTGTGGTGGATCAAACAGTCTGTTTCACTTAATAAATATGTCGCAACATGAGCCACAAATTTAACAAAACCGAGCAAAAGGACGGATTAATGGCAAACCGAGCAAAAGTATCGTAAATAAATTGTATTTTTTGCCACGCTGGAATGAAATATTAATGGCATTCTTGTTTAAAACAGGGACATTTTAGTCATAATTATAACCATATAACCCATATTTTTGGCATGCCATTCTAGTAATTAAACACAAATTATGGGTCACTTTAGTAAATTTCCCATACAGTAATATTAAACTCAACCCATGTGTAGAGTCCATTTCATTTTAGAATCTCAATAAAAAATTGCTTGCACCATCCATCATTCGTTATTTTCAAAATTGCTTGCAGAATCAAACTTTCAAATATTTAGTAGTGTCAAACCTTTTTTAAACCATCTCGGGGGTGATTGGCAATGGACTTTCAAGGCTTTAAGAGTATTCTAAAGTCCTTATAGTTTGTTTCTTTTTTTTCTTCTTTGTTTTCCTTCTTTTTCTAAAGTCTCCATTAGATGGTTTTCAAACAAATAAAAATTAAAAGCTTTCTTTTTTCTTCTCCCCATAATAATTAAAAACTCTTTACAAGTTTACATAAATATTTTTAACAAATCGTTTTTGATAAATTAATTATTATCAACTTTTTATCTTTTTTTTAAGATCCATTTTACAAATAGTTATTTTATTTTCATCATCACCAATATTTTTTTTGATGAATTTTTTTTTTTTTTTGAGAAGAGAGGTAGTTTAGATTACAGAGATATAACCTCCGCCGACAAAAGAACCCATTCGAATCCAGGTGGCATGTCAGGTGACACAACCAACCGGGTAAGTATTGAATTGGTCATCACCATTAATATTCATATAGATAATTCAATTATTTCATTAATTACATCAATAGTTCTATTGATTTTTGATTACTCAAAATTATACAACTACTCACCAAAAAAAAACATTCAAAGCAATTAAAAACAGTTTTTTTATTAGCCATATTAATTGCTCAAAAATCATTCAAGAATCATTAAAAACAGTTTTATCTTATATATTAAAAGAGAAGTCAAAAGTGCTCACGTTCGCTCTCAGAATATGAGCGGACGTTTTTGCCCCTCCCTTTAATGAGATTAAATTAATGAAATTTCTATATTTTAATTAAAAAAAAAACGAACGTGTAAGAAAAAAAAAATATAACGTTTTCGTTTTTTCAACCCTAATTCGCCTATTGGGCTTATATTTTTACAAAAAAAAAAAAATGGCCCGGTATAATTTACACCGTCATATGTAAAACCCTAAAACCTTATGCTGGAAATTCCTATAAATATAGGATGCCTCCCTTGAAACTCAAACATCACGGCTTGATTTTTATGCATAGCAATTATGGTTTATAGTTTTTTTTTTGTACCTCAAACTTGGTCCTTTCTATGATGCATCGTCGTCGGTTTTTTTTTCTCCTTTTTTATGTTATGGTCACTTGGAAAGTAAGATCTCATAGATCTTTGCCAATTTGTGATGAGTTATTTACGCAAGGTTTATAGTTTGGTCGATTACATGTTTTTGTTTCGTAGCTGTTTGGCTTTATATGCCTGAGAATTTTCATGATTTTGATTAGCACCTCTTTCTTTTCTCATGTACAAGCATAAACTTTTTGGAATGTGAAATTGCAAACGAAGCTCAAATCAAACTGAGGTATCTCTCTAATCTTGCTTGATTTATGCATTTTTTTTTTTAACTTAATTTGATTGCTTTACTGTTGCGGATTAACCGTGCGGCTTTATTTGTTTTGGTACGACCTGTATTCTTTTACGTTTTTTTTTTTAACGCAGTTTTTTCTTGTTTCGAATATATTTCTCTAATACGTAAACTTTAAATCTGTTCAGAATGATGTGTTCTATATTATGGAGTCTATGAAGATTATGCACCGTCTGCAACGTGGTCCGGAACGTATAAGGGAGAGGGCACGAGTCGTTATGGACTCGAAGACGTGTTTCCGGACTTATAATTACCATTATCGTATGATCGATATGTCGATGTATTTTTAGATTTTGATTATGATATCTTTCTTGGTTATACTAAAATTATATTAATTAATGAAATATTTTGGATTATATTGAGTTTATCGTGTTCATCGAATATCACACATGATTATGAATCGAAGTTAATCGGTAATATCTTGGGAATAATATTCATTGTCGACAGTTCTTATATTCTGAATTTATTATGCTTAACTGAAAATAATCGATATTGAGAATACTAATACTCAAAATAATTAATCACCGGCGCTATGATTTTAATGTATACGATGATATATACCTAATCGGCGACGTGACAATTCTTATCGGTATATCATGTAAACTAGACCGGATTTATAAATATCTTATTCATGTAGAGATACCTAAACAGCGGCTGCTAATAATGATGAAATATTGCATCCGTGTATCTTATA